AAAAAAAAAAAAAAAAAAAAAAGTGAAAGGATAAAGGACAGAAAAGATCTCAGCCATGGAAGAATTTTGGGGGGACATTAGGGCAATAAGCTGTCTGGTGCTGTACAAGAGCTTTGCCAATTCTCTAACTTCTTACTAATTCTTCTAGCCCCAGGACCCTCTAGTAGAAGAGCTCCTGTGACAGTCTATGTTATATTCTGGAAATCCTGCCTGGGCTCCTTTGGAGCTCCGGGGCTATCCTCTTCCTGCCAAATGGAACCTCAGTCTCCAGAAGTGCACTTGCACTGCATTTGGCACCACAGCCCAATTACAGAAGCAGCCTCTTGGAGGCAACAGGGTTTCCCTTGTTGTTTATAGTGGTCCTTTGTAACCACCCCAGACGCACAGAAGGTTGATCACCAACACGTTCTTCATATACGTTCTATTAACCTGACTGTCCTCCCTTTTCCACTGTGGCTTCCCTGAGTAAAGTTTACCTCTCCTGTCAGCTCTCCCTCTCTTCACTCCTCTGGGAGGAAAAATTTCTCTTGACCAAGTTTTTCACCATCTGCAGGTATCAATGAGGTCTTACGACTCATAAGTTTCTGAATAGTTGGTATTTTCTCATTTTTTCACTGTAAAATCTAACCTTAACTCTGGTTCAACTGCTTTTTTCTCACTTTCATACATAGACTTTTAACTACAGGATAAACTCTGGTTGAGAGGAATTCATTCTATCCACTTCTATGAACTAGTTAGTATAGGTACTTGTATGTATTTTTTAAGGAACTTAGTATAGACAGATTTTAGGCTCAAAAATTTTACACTTGAAAAGTCTAAAAGACATTTATTAATAAGTAAATATTTTAATGAAATATACCTGGACTACTACTGATTTGATTAGGTTCAAGGTATTTGTCATAATAACCCTTATATGTGGACAGAATTATGGACAGCCTATAAAAGACAGCTGGATTAAGAATTCACTAAAGTATTCAGTATATCTGATAATACTATTAATCCTTAAGTATTATAATAAACAATAGAATTTTCCCTGAATATCCCACAAATCAAAAAGATTTCAAAACAAAGGTCCCTTAAGATTTAACAACTTGGGACTGCAGATTTAACTCAGGGTGCTGCCGCCTGCCTTGCAAGCTCAAGGTCCTGAGTTCAATCCCAGTATAAAAAAAAAAAAAAAAAAAAGATTTAACTTAACTCTAAAACATACTGCAGAGTTCTAGAAAGAAGCACAAGGGAAATAACACTAGGCAACTTATCATCTCCTTTAATCTTCATAATAACTCTATGAGGTATGTCTTACTGTCACTATTTCACAGATGCAGAAATATGCACTGAGAGATTAAGAAACTAGTCCAAGGAATTACAGTTATTAAATAAACAGAGCCAGTATTCAAAGCAAGGTCTTTCTGGCTCCAATGTCTATGGTGCCACCAGTAAATTGCCTGAGAACTGGACTAGTTAGTAACATGGTCCACAGAACCATTGTTTAATGGAAACGTGAAGAAAGGTTCTGTGAAAGAAATGTCTTGTAAACTGAATCTGTTCACCCCAAGTTTCCAGTTGGCCAGAGGATTATATGATAGTTAGAACTTAGAATTATATACACAGCACGAGTGACAATCTGGAATAGGATCACCAGGAACCTTGTTCTAAACTAGAAGATATTTGTTTGTTACTACTGACTTTAGTTAATGATTCATACACCTACTGGGGTCACAAAGTAAGAACTCTGCCCTGTCAATACACAGGAGCTAGTCTCATTTCTTAAGTGAAATAGATTTTCTTAAAACAGTGATGGCAATGTAGATGAGTTATAAAATATTGGGTGTGATGTGGTGATAGATCCAGAGGTACCATATGAATCATTTCTGGAAATAACCAAAAAATGGAAAACAACAACAACAAAAAACCCAGAGCCTTAACTCAACAACTCAAAACTCAGGTTCATCTCAAAGATAAAATGTTACCCATCAAGAATTGATTCACGGCAACAGTAGAGGTTGTCAAATTTCTGTTTGGTGACTGAGTCATTGACATTCATGGCCGGAACACAGAGCTTCCCAGCTTTGGACAGTTGGTACAGCCTAGGGATGAGAGAAATCAAGAACATAAAATAATAAGACATTACAGTTACTATTGTTTTCATATTAAATCCTAGAAATATGACCAAGAGACATGACTTGTATCCTGTTGGAAGGATATTGAGAATTACTATATTGTGTTTTTAGAGACTATATACAGCTTAGAAATAAAGATCTCATTCAAAAATCATATGGTGGTGGGTGCAGTGGCACATGCCTATAATCCCAACACCCAGGTGGCTAGGCAGGAAGATTGCTGGAAGGAATTGTAGGAAGTTCAAGGCCAGAATGGGCTACATAGTGAGTTGAGTTCAATCAGCTTGAACTACATAACAAGATTCTGTCTTAGAAAACCAAAGATATGTGGGGAAAATCCTCAACCTAACTCCAAATTTTAAGACTTTAACATGTATGTATGTATGTATGTGTATGTATGTATGTATGTATGTATGTATGTGTGTGTGTAGTTTTGGAGGGAGACTGAACTTAGGACCTTATGTTTGCAAGGCAGGCGGCAATACCAGAGCTAAATCCCTGGCCCAAAACTTTTATATATATATATCAAACAAAACCCCAAAAACAAAAACAAAAAAATTAACTCTAAGGTTTTGTTTTTGAGACAGAGTCTTGCTATTTAGTTCAGATTAGCCTTGAACTCATAACCTCCTGAGTGCTGGGATTATAGGCATGCACCACCACACCTGGCAAAACTATTCATTTTATTCAACCTTCATCCCTTTCTAAGAGTATGAGAGTATGCTATAATCCATAGTTTTGTATATTAAGAGATCATAAGTCAGGAGTGGTGGCGCATGCCTGTAATCCCAGCACTTTGGAGGCTGAGATAGGAAGATCTCTGTGAGTTTGAGACCAGCCTGGGCTACACAGTGAGTTCCAGATCAGTCTCAACTACATTATGAGACCCTGTCTCAAAAAACCAAAAAAAGAAAGAGAGAGAGAGATCATAATACACTCAAGCAATTACAGTGGCTAATTCAAAATTTACTTCCATAAAAATTTATTTCGTATGTTTCAGTTCTTTAGGGGTAAATAATAGCAAACAAAAATGTCTCCAATTTTACCCAGAAAAACACTGCTCATTTGCAAACAGAACCCTATGTCCTTGCTCTGTAATGCAAACATGTAAGCTCTGTGAGGGCACAGGTTTTGTTAGTTTTGTCTATTTCTATATCCTACCCCTAAAGTAACTCTTGGTTCAGAACAGCGATGGCAAACCTTTTAGAGCTTTCACTGGTATCATCTCACTGCAGCATGCAGCAGTGGCCACTGCTGCTGCAGAAGTTCCAAAAATACTTATTAAAAAATGAATTAATCCAAAAAGACAAGTAATCACTGTATTGACTAGAAAACACGAGGACCCCACCTGTTGTCCCACCTGCCTGTCTTTCACTATTTTGTTTGTTATTTGTGTTATTACCTTAAAAAACAAGTATACAAGTTTAGATCTGTTCAACTAATAGCAGGGTCTAATTTTTAACATAATGTGTTCTACTGGTGTGTGATTTCAAGAGTATATGTCTCAGGACCAGGATTTAGCTCAGTGGTTCTGCTGCCTGCTTCATAAGCACAAGGTCCCAAGTTCGATCCCCGGTACCAAAAAATGAAAACGAGTATATGTCTCAGCTGCATGAGGCCAGGGATGCTCATCTGAAATCTTACCTGTGGACTCCAGTAACACTCTCTTCAACTATGCCTTTGATTTTCTTAAACATGTTGGGATACTTTTTATAAATCCAATGAGTAAGATCCCCTCCATCATCCAAGATCTGAGAAAGATAAGCACCGGTAATGTCATTCATTTTGCTGAAGGCTCAAGGTTTCAGTGCTTCTCTGGGTCTTGTACCCAAATTTCTAATTACCAATCTACAGGTATTTCAAATTTACTAAATGGTATACAAAGTAACCTAAAGCCAGAGCTAATATAATAATATACTACATACTTAGTCACTAGACACAAGCAAACAACAAGAGGCAAAAGGTCAATTGCAGAGCTCACAGTCAAATGACCCTCCCACATGACACATCTATATCAAAATTTACATTTAATGAGGACTTTCTTATGGACTGATAGCTTAAGTGGTTATCTAGAACACTAGTTCTTGCATATGCAGTAGATATTCAGAAAGCCTGAACTTGATATAGTCAATCTCTGTTGGTTAAATTTAGAACTTTCAACATATTCAATCAAGGCTTAGTTTAAGGACAAATAATTAGTTTCCTTTTCAGAACAATGGCTTATAAGATTGTATTCATTAATCCTTTACTTTTGCCAAAGTATAGGCATTCTCCCACCCAACATATCGGGTGGCAATGTGGGGTTTTGCTGAGCACAACCTCTCACTCTGTATAAACCAAATTAAAAATAACCAGGGAACCGTGCAGCATGTAGGTGTGCAAGCATGCCTCTGAACAGCTCATCACTATTTCAGGTTGGAATTAAAGATAAACACAATGCTGTGCCCACTGGAGCTTTCATCAGCAGAGGAAAGTTTCTGAATTATAAATAAGCTAAAGAAAGAGCAGCTTAGAATACTATTAGGCACTAGGCTGTGGCACTCCAGCCCTCCCCTGGGCTGCAGAAGCACTCTGAGACTTCACACAATGCTACGCCCATCTTCCTGGAGAGTCCTTGCAGGACTGAGTTGCCCTCTGCTGGCAGCACTCACCTAGCAGTTCCATCAAAACGGCTATAAGTGCCCAAACACCATTATGGACCCCACAGTACATAAACTCCCTAAACTCATGTCTTTCAACTAATCTCTTTCGATTATGTTCTTGCTATTGATGCATTTTCTCTGAGTGAGTCCAATCTTGTTTGAGAGCAGGGACCCAGATAGAGTTCTCACTAAAACTCTTATGCTCACTGCACAGTGCAAGCAGAAACTATCACAACCAATCAATGCCCTAAGAAACCCAAAGTATCTCTTGAGTTTTTCTTTTCTTTTCTTTTTGCACCTATAAAATCCCATGGAGTTTTCCCTTGATTCTCTAATCCTTAGCCACAGAAAAGGTCAGAGACAAAAACAAATCTAAAAAATTAGAAACTTTGTGGTATGCCCTACTATTTTTGCCTACTTTTCCTTTTAACAAAGCCATCAGATACAAGAAGGTAGCTGTTAATCCTATTGTAGTATGTGTGCTGCCAAAGTAAGCACTGCTATTCCCAATATAATGAATGTAGTTCTCCCATGCAATGCTATTGCAGAAAACTGTGGTCATCAGTGAATCTTCCTCAGGTTAGAAAGCAAGGAAAAATATTAGATTGTGACAAGATACAGAAAGGTATGGATTCCACTTTCTGGGACATAACTGTTTTCATCCTTGTCTAATTTTCTTCACTAAGCTTTCTAGCAGTTTGTGTTGGCCCTATAGTTTGTAAAAGCTCTCTGAGCACAATTTCATATCCTTGTGCTCATGACTATAAAATTAGTGTTTTATTCTCAGGAGAACCCCCCTGCATATCTTTTTTTACTGTCAATCATATTCTGTCCTGTCACTGTTAAAATTGGTGGAACAAGCTGACTCATTTTAGAGCCACTGTTATCTCCCTCTAGGATATGAAGGCTTTAACCCAGCTTCCTCAAACCAGCACTTCATGTCATGTGACCTGGATCAGAGAATTCAGACAGAGGCATCTGCTCTGCCAGGTACCAGGTGAGGCCTGCTCTAACAGCATTCAGTGGTTTCTTTTTCTCAGTTGATATTCTAATTTCTCTTCTCACAAATAGGCAAACACATTTCTCAAGCAAGAGTGTCTCATACTTTGTGTAGCTTTCTGATTCTTTGTAAACCTGATATGCTACCAGCCTTCAAGACTTGATGTTTTTAAAAATAAAACAAAATAGGGCTGGTGATTTAGCTCAGCGATTCCAACGCCTGCCTTGCAAGCTCAAGGTCCCGAGTTTGATCCCCGATACCAAAAATAAATAATTAAATAAATAAATAAAAAATAAAAATGATGCAGAAATTTAAAAACCCAAAACTTTGTCTGGTTATTTTGTTTTAAATAGATAGTTAATGAATAAAGAAAAGATATTTGAATATGGAAACACTTCAGGTATACTATAAATTCAGTATATAGATCCTGGAAAGAAAACTGAGTACACCTCAGGAGCTGTAGGGTTTTTTGATTGGTGTTTTTAGTGTTTTTTTTTTTTTTTTTTTGCAGG